CCCCAAATTTTTAACAGTCTGCAATTTCCCCATTTTTATTATCTGTGCCGATCTTTTGCCTGCTGCCTTGATTGACCATGCCTCTGCCTTCCACCTTAACTGACCCTGGCCTGTTTACCAACAATGCCTCTGCTTGCTGTTTATCGACTATGCTTCTGCCTGCTGTCTGGATTATCAACCACGTTTGTGCCTTCTTCCTTGACAGACCTTGGCCTGTTAAATGGACAATGTTTTTTGCCTGCTGCTTGGATTGATCTTTTGCCCTGCTGCTGCAGTAGTGGGATTCAAGATAACACAGGGGTCTCACATATGTGAGGAGCTTCAGAATAGAGAAAAAACAGTTTTTGGTTTTCTCCAGGTTTTATAATTCCCTGAACAGGGTTTGTTTGTCCGGAGGCTTGGAAGAGATTGGGTGGGACAAAACCTCTACCCCTGTGCCCCAGTCCTACCTTACCAAGGCCCTAAGCCTGATGTTCCTGCCTGCTGCCTGGACCAATACTTTGTGATGATCATATCTTTGCTTGCTGCCTGTACTGACCTAGGACTTTTTATGGACCATGTTCCTGCCTGTTGCCTGGATCAATACTTTGGCTGTGCTGACCATATCTCTCCTTTTGCTACCTGTACTGACCCAAAACTTTTTCAGACCATGTTCCTGCCTGCTGCCTGGACCAATACTTTGGCTCTGCTGACTATATCTCTGCCTGCTGCTTGTACTGACCAAGGACTTTTTATGGACCAGGTTTTTGCCTTCTGCCTGGATCTCAGCCTGCTGCCTGTACTGCCCCTGGCTTGTTTATCCACCATATTCCTGCTTGCTGCCTGGGCAAATCCTGTGGCTGTTGCCTGCTTCCTGGTCCAATGCTTTCCTAAAACCACTAGTAAACTTTTGCTCATCCTTTCTTCAGCTAGGCTGTGAAATAGTCTCACATGTGGTATTGTCATGTTCAGTAGGAATAGCAAAATGTATTTTTGAGTATAGAAGAAATATCCCATAAATTGACAACTTTCTGTAAAAAAAAAAAAAAAATACTTTTTCATTTTCTTTCCACATTTTCTAAAAACGTGTGGAAAAAAATGACATGTTCAAAAGACTCATTATGCCTCAAAGAATATATTTTGGAGTGTTTTCTTTCCAAAATGTGGTAATTTTGTTTGTTTTTCCATTGTCCTGGTGCCTGGGGCCTTCAAAACTGTGATAGGTAGTCATGAAATTAGATGTGTAATTTATGCCCCTTTTATGCTCCTAGAATGTGTGAAGGTGATACTTGGATGTTGGGCCTCTGTATGTGGCCAAGCTGCAGAAAAGTCTCACACATGTGGTATTAACATACTAGGGAAGTGTAGAAGAATGTGTTTTGGGGCATAATTATTGGTATGTACATGCTGTGTGTTAGAAATATCTTATAAATTGACAACTGTGTAAAAAAAAAAAAAATTTCTTTCAACATTTTCTAAAAACTTTTGGAAAAAAAACAACATGTTCAAAAGACTCATAGATAAAAATATAACTTGGGGTGTTTTTTTTCCAAAATTTTGTGGCTGTTTCCACCGTTCTGGCCTTCAAAACTGATAGGTAGTCAGGAAATTAGATTTTAGTCAGTGTAATTTATGCCCCTTTTATGCTCCTACAACGCGTGAAGGTGCTACTTGGACACTGGGTCTCTGTATGTGGCCAGGTTGTGGAAATGTCTCACACATGTGGTATCACAATACTAGGGAGGTGTAGCAGAATGTGTATTGGGGTTCAATTGCAAGTATGTCTATGCCAGGTGTGAGAAATAACTTGTTATTTTGACAATTATGTGCGAAAAAAAAAATAATTTCTTCATTTTCCAAAGAATTGTGGGGAAAAAATTACAACTTCAAAAAACTCACCATGCCTTTTACTAAATAAATACTTTGGACTGTCTATTTTCCAAAAAGGGGTCTTTTGAGGGCTATTTGTACTTTCCTAGCATGTTAGGGCCTCAAGAAATAAAAATAGGCCATCAGTGCTTCAGCTGCAATCAATTTTCAATGATTGGTGCCATATCTTGTAGACTCTAACTTTCACACAGACTAAATAATATACACGGATTTGGGTGTGTTTTTTTTTACCAAAGTTTATGTAGCAGTATAAATGTTTGCCTAAATTTATGAAGAAAAATTACTTATTTGCAAAATTTTATAATAGAAACAAAGAAAACCTTATTTTTTTTCTAAATTGTCAAGTCTTTTTTCGTGTATAGTGCAAAAAATAAAAAACCCAGGGGTAATTAATTACCACCAAAAGGAAAGCTCTATTTGTGTAAAAAAAATGATAATTTCATATGGGTACAATGTTGCATGACCGCGCAATTGTCATTCAAAGTGTGACAGCACTAAAAGCTGAAAATTGGCCTGGGCAGGAAGGTGGTAAAAGTGCCCTGTATGAAAGTGGTTAAGGTCCGTGTTCATGATTCAATAAGAAAGACATGGCAAAAATGGCATCTATGGGAGAGTTCCAAGGCAAAAGCCACTGCTGACAAAAAGAACACAAAAAGACTTGTCTCACATTTGCCACAAAACATCTGGATTATCTCCAAGACAAAATCTGAACTTTTTGGAAGCTGTGCGTCCTGTTACATTTGGTGTATAATGAACACCGTACTTCATAAATAGAACATAATACCAACAGTCAAACATTATGATAGTAGTTCAATTGTCTTGGGCTGATTTGCAGCTTCAGGACATTAACGACTTGCCATAATTGATGGAACCATGAATTCTGTGCTCTACCAGAAAATCCTGAAGGAGAATGTCTGACCATCAGTTTATGACCTCAAGCGCACTTATGCAGCAGGACAACAGTCAAAAACACTCCAGCAAGTCCACCTCTGAATGGCTCAAAAAACAAAACAAAAAACTCACAAAATTAAGGTTTTGGAGTGGCCTAGTCAAAGTCCAGACTTAAATCCGATTGAGATGCTGTGGCATGACCTTACACAGGCTGTTCATGCTCGAAAACCCTCCAATGTGGCTGAATTAAAACAATTCTGCAAAGAGTGGGCCAAAAATCCTCCAAAGCGAAGTGAAAGACTCATTGCCAATTATCGCAAATGCTTGATTGAAGTTGTTGCAATTACTTTTTCACATAGGGCCAGGCAGGTTTGGACAGATTTTTTCCCTTATTAAATGAAGTCATCATTTTAAAACTGCATTTTGTATTTACTCAGGTTATTGTGTAATACTACAAATTGTTTGGTGATCCGAATCATTTAACCACTTGCCAACTGCGCTATAGCCGAATGACAGCTACAGCACGGTTGTCCAGTTCTAGGAGGGAGTCATATGACATCCTCCTAGAACTTGCCCTCCCACGCGGCCCCGGCGATCTCCGTGAATGCTGTGTCCTGGACACAGCAGATCACTGGTAACTGCAGTTCCCGATAATCGGCTGCACTTTCCTCAAGTTGTCACAGCATGAGGAAAGTACTGCCGATAACTGGCAATTGTCAGAGGACGGATTAGCACCAATCATTAGGGCACTGATGATAAGTGCCCATAAGTGCCACCCACCTGTGCCTAGCAGTACCCCCCATCAGTGCCGCCCATCAGTGCTGCCAGTGTCCAGCAGTGCCGCCAATCAGTGCCATCCATCAGTGCCCATCATTGTTGCATATCAATGCCAGCTCATCAGTACCGATCATTGTTGCATATCAATGCTGCCTATCAGTGCCCATCAGCGCTGCCTATCCGTGCCACCTCATCGGTGCCGCCTATCAGTGCCCTTCAGTGCAGCCTCATCAACACACATCAGTGAAGGGGAAAAATTACCTGTTTGCAAAATTTTATAATAGAAACAAAGAAAAACGTTTGTTTTTTTTTGCTGTTTGTTAATAGCGCAAAAAATAAAACACCCAGCGGCAATTAAATACCACCAAAAGAAAGCTCTATTTCTGTGGAAATAAAAAGATAATTTCATATGGGTACAGTGTTGCATGACCGCGCAATTGTCATTCAAAGTGCGACAGTGCTGAAAGCTGAAAATTGGCCTGAGCATGAAGGGGGTATAAGTGGCGGGTAGGCAAGTGGTTAAGTGTGGCAAATATGAAAAAAAAAAAAACAATCAGGAAGGGGGCAAACACTTTTTCACAGCACTGTAGGTTGGTACTGTCTGTAACCTGGCACAGGTAATAGGCAGATACTGGTTAAAACAGCAGCCAGTCCTAAAGAGGTTAATGTAGATCTAAACCCTAACTGATTTACAGAACTATGTGAAAAAAACCCCAAAAAAAACCACCCACACAGTATTACCTTGGTTTGCAAATGCCTCAGTTAAGGTAATTTTCAGTTTACAAATGAAAATCCATTGAAAATAATGCCTCGGTTTACACATTTTGTTCACAATACGAAGTGAATGTTGGTGATGATTTTTAAATGCAATTGCCAGCTTTTTTTTTCCTTCACTATAGCTCAAAGAGCTGTCACTTTCTTAGTTAACCACTTGCCTACCAGGCACTTATACCCCCTTCCTTACCAGGCCAATTTTCAGCTTTCAGCGCTGCCGCACTTTGATTGACAATTGCGCGGTCATGCAACATTGTACCCATATGAAATTTTGATCATTTTTTTCTCACAAATAGAGCTTTCTTTTGGTGGTATTTAATCGCCACTGGGCGCTTTACTTTTTGCGCTATAAATTAAAAAAAGTGCAAAAAATTTGAAAAAAAAAAAAAAGTTTGTTTGTTTCTTTTATAAAATTTTTCAAACAGGTATTTTTTCTCCTTCACGGATTTGCGTTGATGAGGCGGCACTGATGGGCACTGATAGGCGGCACTGATGGGCACTGATAGGCAGCACTAAAGGGCACTGATAGGCAGTACTAATGAGGTGGCACGGATAGGCGGCACTGATAGACAGCACTAATTAGGGGTCACGGATAGGCGGCACTGATATGCAGCACTGATAGGTGACACTGATGATGGGTACTGATAGACGGCACTGACTGGCATCACTTCTGGGCACTGACTGGCGGCACTGACTGGCACAACCCCTGGGCACTGACTGGTGGCACTGACTGGCAGCACTGCTGGGCTGCACAGGTGGGTGGCACTGGTGGGCAGCACTGGTGGGTGGGCACAGGTGGGTGGCACTGGTGGGCACAGGTGGGTGGGCACAGGTGGGTGGCACTGCTGGGCACATGTAGGTGGCACTGCTGGGCACAGGTGGGGGCACTGCTGGGCACAGGTGGGGGCACTGCTGGGCACAGGTGGGGGCACTGCTGGGAACGGGTGGGCGGGGCTAGTGGGCGCACTGCTGGGCGGAACTTGCGGGTGTCACTGCTGGGCACCGATCATCAGGGCACTGATCATCAGTGCCCTGATGATCGGTGCCGATCCCCGCTCTGATAACTGCCGGTTCTCGGCAGTACTTTCCTCACGATCTGACAGCGTGAGGAAAGTGCAGCCGAGAACCGGCACTTGCATTTCCCTGTGATCAGCGTGTCATTGGACACCGCTGATCACGTGGTAAAAGGCCGGTGGGATCGGCCTTTCACCACATCACATGATCAGCTGTGTCCGTAGGACACAGCGATCACGGAGATCGCCGGGTGCGCGCCCCCAGGAGAGCGCGTTCTGGGAGGACGTCATATGACGTCCACTCAGAACTGGCCGGCCGTGGTGAAGCCGTCATTCGGCTATGTGCGGTCGGCAAGAGGTTAAAGGAAGCTTTGTTTCTTTTAAGAAACTAAAAGGAAACATTGTTTCTTTTAACTTGGGGAAATAAACTAAAAATAAACTTTGTTTTAGCTGGTGGGGAAAGTGACAGCTGAATCTGAGCTATAGTGAAAAAAAATTAAAAAGAGGTAATTACATTTAAAAACCGGCACCATAATAAAAAAATTTTTTTTTAAATGGCGTGCAGGCTCCCCCCTAAAATCCATACCAGATCCTTATCCGAGCATGCAGCCCAGCAGGTCAGGAAAGCGAGTTCCCCCTCCTGAACCATACAGGTCACATGTGCTCAACATGGGGGGTGCTTTGGGGCAGTGGGGCTCCCCCTCAATGCACCTTGTCCCCATGTTGATGGGGACAAAGGCCTCTTCCCCCACAACCCTGGCCGGTGGTTGTAGGGGTCTGCGGGCACAGGGCTTGTCGGAATCTGGAAAGGGGCCCCCAGATCCCGCCCCCCCATGTGAATGAGTATGGGGTACATGGTCCTGATACTCATTCACAAAAGACAAAGTGTAGTGTGAAAAAAAGACAGGACACGGTCTTTGAAAAGTCCTTTATTAAAATAAAAAACTAAAAGTATGTCCCGCACAATAGATCCAACGGCAATCATGATGTCCGCCGCCAACCCCCAAAAAAAAAAATTTTTTAAAAAATGCTCAGTTTCTGACGATGGCTCCTGCCGTCTGCCTGCTCCGGTGGTTTGACAGTTCTTAAATAGGTAAGGGGCAGGGACCACCTGGGGACATCACGCATGTGACCCCACCCCATGTGACATCAATGACATCAGTCGGGATGCTGCACACGTGTACATGCACAATAAAAAAGCAAACTGAAGCAAATCATAAAATAATAAAGATGTTTATAAGGTCAGTAGAGTATAATACAAGTATGCAGGGGCAGACTGACCATTTGGAAATTCGGGCACTGCCCGAGGGCTTGGGGTCAGTAGGGGGCCCCATGAGATGCCCCTGGTACCTTTTTCATAGGCTTTTTTGAGTTTGGACAAGGACACAGGGGCCCCATGAGTTGTCAGTCCACCCCTGCAAGTATGATATAAGCTCCAACTTTTTTCTAAACAGAAACGAAACACAAAAAAGCACAGGCTCCTTGCCCTACAAATCAAATTCCTTAAGGACCGATGAAAACAATGGCTGCGGTTGGGTTTGAGCGAGACAGGCACTGTGGGTGGGTATTGTTTATATAGGTGTGGCACTACAATATACCTCCCACTTCACTGACAATTCTACTCTTCCTCTACTCTGTGAGAAACATAAATAAATATCAATAAATAAAATCAATAAAACCTATTACATATATACCAAATTCATGTGCAAAGTTTCCAATAATTAAAATAGTGTAATATCACTTTATTATTACTAAAAGTACGGTACTTTTATAGCATTGTACATTTACATCAGTCCCTGTCCTTTAGGTGATTGGACTGACAAAAAACTTGGAAAAACAATAAGCAGCGCAAATTACCACCTTAACTCAATAAATGAATTAAATGTTCATAAAAACTCAGAAAATAAAACAATATATGAAAAAAAAAAAAAAATTATATATATTATATATTAATTGTGATATAAGTGTCCCCAAAAACATGTATTATTCTTTCTTAAAGTGTCCAAATAAATATAATTAAATCCAAGAAAAAGTCCTTTCTCCCAAGTGACCAAAATAATGCTTCCACCATCCACCAGTGAAAAAAACAACATCAACCGCACTCACCAAATGATGGTGAGTATTGCGCCTTTTAGGAATATTTTGGGCTCCTAAACCCCCTTAAGACCTTCAGAACTCCTTTCCACCATAGGATTAAGGGTACTCCTCCACTCGCTCCTGCCTTCTCCTCTCACCAACTCCACAGCAGTGCAGGGGAAAGAATATGTAATAGTGTGATACTGCTAGTACTCTGTGTATTAGTAAATAAACATTGCCAGACCACTCACATTTCTCATGATCTTTAAAAGCATCAGTTTAATTGCCTCCATAGGCTAACACAGGTTCCACAGCTTCCACATGTCTGTAACAGAGACCTCACAGCCTGGTCCAACGAAAGGATGACAGGATACACCTCCAACAATGACCAAGATGGCCACTTGGAACGCACCGCTCGGCGTGCATTCCACTCACCGGAAATGACACAGAATGTCAGGACGGCAGACCAGAAGTGAGTTGACGTGTTTCGCCCCACCCACAGGGCGTTCTCTTGCTAGGGCCACCCCTAGTACACACTCCTATAACCCCACCCACTCAATGAGAATCCTTTTTTTTTTGTTAGTGTCCTGCACTGTACACAAAGAGAATTTACAAGTAAATCATGATTCCCATCATCTTTTATCGTGCAATACTTGTATTGATAAACCATGAAATGTCCTCAAGCAAAACACTGAGGAGTGGGCAACAACATAGCAAAACAAAGCTGACAACAGTCCCACAAAAAACACAAGTGGTAAAGACCCAGAAAACATACCAATAACAGCTTGAAGCCTCTTGCAGTCATAGCTCGCATCAGCTGAAGCCTGAATATCCACCTGGTAGGACTTGGAGAACGTGTGAACAGAGGACCAGATGGGGGCCTTCCATATCTGGGATACAGATGCTTGATGCTGAACAGTCCAAGGAACACCGACAGCCTTGGTGTAATGAAGTCTAATGGGGAAGGAAGGAACCTTTTCCTTAAGGGTGTAGGCCCTGTAAAGAAGTTGCCTGATCCACCTGGCAATGATGGATCAAGAAGCAGATGTACTCTTCAGGGACTGCCAGGTAGAACAAAGACCGCATCAGTTTTGCTAACAGAGGCTGTGGCTGCCAAGAAAACCCTGACAGCTCTGGTCACATCCTGGCCATTCATTTCAAATGGCACCTGAAAATGCGGGGTTCCTTTTTTGGGCGTCATGCATCACACAATTTTGTTTGAGCAATCGCGCAGTGAGTTTGTCACACAGAAAAACGCGCAATGATTGCGGGAAACGCCCTATGTTTTCAAGTGCCATTGAAATGTGAATGGAGCCTTAAAAGAGAAGTTCAAATTTTAGACAAAAATAAATGCACATTTTACAGGTTAAAAAAATAAATAAAATGTGCATTTATTATTTTTGTCTACAGAAGCCTGGAAAGCATTGCACCAGCGATCAGTAGATCACTGATGCCATGCAGGTCTCCTGCAGATCTGTCAGAATATCTGCTTGCTGTACGGGATGTACGAGCAAGCAGATATTCTGACAGGAAGCTTCCATGAACTACCACAGCGCTCCACAGCCGCTAAGACTGTCGGGACTTGCAGTTCATTCATTCATGGAAGTTCGTGCGATACGGCCGTGTGGACGGAGCCACGCATGGACGCGCGGTTTTCAAATTTGACGGACAGTACAGGGAGACTTCTCCCTGTACTATCTGTCAGAGGGAGGGGGGTGGCAGGAGGCAGCTGTGGCTATGGGAACATGTTACATGTTCCACCTTAAAAACAGGTGGAAGATGTAACACGTTCCCAAAGGTGAACTTATCCTTTAAGGCTACGTTCACACTAGCCTTGTGTGCAGGCGGCAGAGAGGCGTTTGGGAAGCGTTTTTACCGCTTCCCAAACGCCTCTGCCAACTCTGCACATTACAGCACATGGTGCTGTTCTAACAGGAGCGTTTTCGCGTCGCGTTGCGTCGCGGCAAAACGGACGCCTCTGGTCGAGTCAGGAGGCTTTGAAGCCTCCTATTCTCGTCTATGGTGCCGCTCCGCAAACGCCGGCCGGCGTTTGCGGTGCGGTTGCGACGCGGTTATGGGGCGTTTGCGGAGCGGTAACACCACTCAAATGCATTATAGGCGTTTGTGGGGCGTTATTAACGCTCGGCAAACGCCTAGCAACCGCCGCTAAACCGCGCATGCGGCGTTTGCGGAGCGTTAAAAACGCTCCGCAAACACCGGACCAACGCTTGCCAAACGCTATAGGGGCGTTTGGCAAGCGTTGGCAAAACAGCCTAGTGTGAACGAGCCCTAACTCTCATTCTTAGTGCCTTTAGGAACTTGTTTTGGCTGTGGAAATGTAGGTACTGTTAACAGATGTGGTGCGCACTAGTCTTTAACATGTCAAAAATTGACAGCATTTGACCTAAAGCTGTAGCTTGTACCTCATAAAATGCAGGGGAAGAAAAATCCTCTGTAGACTCTGCTACAAGATGAGTGAGGTTTTCCCCTCTGATTCCTGATTAGGATCAGGGGAAGAGAGGACATCTAGGGGAAGATTTACTAAAACTGGAGCACTCAGAATCTGGTGCAGCTGTACATAGTAGCCAATCAGCTTCTAACTTCAGCTTGTTCAATTAAGTTTTGGCAATAAAAACATGACAAAATTTAGAAAATCTCAAGGGGTATCAATACTTTCAAGGCACTGTAACTCAAGCGCTGATCGTGTTCCTGTAACTGTGTCTATGTAGAAGATGGTAGCAGTAATGTGCTGTGTGTAATCAAAGAATAAATGGTGAGCGCCAGACAAAAAAGGAAAAAGTAAAGCAGCTAGCACAACGTAGCAAACCCTCTGACTCCACCAAAATAAAACACTA